AAGATTTAAATGAATCCATATATTTTTCTATTATCCTTATGATTGCTTCTTGTTTTTTATTTTTCAAGGTTCCCATCTTAACAGCCAAGTACATATGTTGCCATATTTTTATCTGTATTCCTATAACCACTGACACGTATAAACACATACATACAGAATTTAACATACAAGTTGATCATATTTTTACAAGTTTATTATTTTATAAAAATATTTTTACTAAAGTAATATATATATATTTCCCTATTTTGGTATTCTCACTTAACAGTGCCATGCAGAAATCCTAAAAGTCACTGATATAAGTTCTAATTTTCATTTTCAATGGCTGGATCATATGGATATGCCATAACTTCTTCAGCCATACACATATTAACAGGCAATGATTTTGTTTGTAGTTGTTTGCGCCAATGGTCATGTTTGCATATAAAGCCTTACATACTGAGGAAAAGAGGAATACCTGTGAGGTGGAGTCAAAGAAATTAATTATTTGGTCAAATAGTACACACTAAAAATTTTTTTAATAGTTATTTTTACATTTCTTTCCCAAAAGGCCATAGTAACTTCCTTTTCTATTAGCAAATTGAAAAAGTATCCCTTCCCTTGGATTCTTGACAACATGTATTAGTTGATTTTGTAACAATTTTTTAAGTCTACTGAATACAGTTACATTTCATTTTTCTTAATTTGTGTTTTCCATGTGGTAGTTTACTACATTAATTTTCTATTTTTGTACATTCTTATCCTTTGTTCATTTAATTTTTATCCTAACTTTTATGAGTTCTTAGTCTATTATAGACATTAAAATATTGTATATCATCTATATTACAAATATTTGTTCTAGATCTATTATTTACATAGTTCATATTACCATGTGAACTTTCTGAAATTTTTATAGTAAAATATAAAATAAAGCAAACTATAATGAAACACAATATTATCATAAAATATACCCATGTTAAGATAACTTCTCTGCTAGATTTTACAAGAAATCTTTGTATCTACTGACATTTCATTGTAAGGTTGATACTGTGTTTTCTTGATGAATTTTTTATACTTTAAACCTTAAGTTTAATTGAAACATTTCTGTATATGGCTAAGTGTTCTTCAAAATAATCTCCTACATGGCATTTAAGCCCTACTTAATGAATAATCCATCTTTTTCTCCTGACATTATCACATTGCCTTCTAAAGAAATTTACACCCCAAAATGGAGGCATTAATCTGAACAAATATCAACAAATGTGAAAAGTACCTGGTCTTTCATTCTGGCTTTTCTTGGCAATGTAACTGTATTTAACTCTGAGTCTTCTGGAATGCTTCGTAGTTCACGCTCTATCCTGCAAGTATTTTCATTTAGCGCTGCTTCTACTTTTCCAGTGGATGGTGCAGGGGAAGAACATGCTGAATCAGCAGGCTGAGGAGATATGCTCTCTCTTCTGTTAGTTCTGTCGTTGTCATCATCATCATCACTGGACAAAATGACTAAAAGTATTTTAATAATTTATAATTTATATTAAAACTATATAAGTTTTTTTTTTTTTTTTTTTGACAGCGCTTCGCTCTCGTTGCCCAGGCTGATGTGCAATGGTGCGCTCTTGACTCACCACAACCTCTGCCTCCTGGGTTCAAGCGATTCTCCTGCCTCAGCCTCCCATGTAGCTGGGGTTACAGGAATGCACCATCACACCTGGCTAATTTTGGATTTTTTTTCTTTTTTAGTAGAGATGGAGTTTCTCCACTTTGGTTAGGCTGGTCTCGAACTCCTGACCTGAGGTGATCCACCCACCCAGGCCTCCTAAAGTGCTGGTATTACAGGTGTAAGCTACCCACTCGGCTATTTATATTCATCTCTGTCCATTAAAAATGCAAATAAATTACCAAAGTGGAAAATATACTGAATTTGCTTTGGATCTCCTCCAGATCTAAGAATAATTAAAATGAATAAAGATACAATCCACTCTGATGAAAATTTAAATCTGAAGAAAGTGCTAAGACTTGGCATCTTTTAAAAAATATTATACAAATATAAAATTTGTTTCTACAGTCCATTACCACTCACCCAAACAGCAGTATCAGTAAGTTACAAGAAGAATTACATATTTATCAGTAGGTCTATTTCAGAGTCCCAAAAAGTTTAATGTCTAAAAAATAATTTGCATACAACTTGTTTGCAAAATAGTACGCATTGTAAATATGTGTGAAACTCCACGTAGCCAAGTAATTTTTTTTTTTTTTTTTTTTTTTTTGAGACAGAGTCTCATTCTGTCACCCAGGATGCAGTACAGTGGCACGATCTCAGCTCACTGCAACCTCCGCCTCCAGGGTTCAAGTGATTTTCCTGCCTCAGCCTCCCGAGTAGCTGGGATAACATGTATGTGCCACCACACCCAGCTACTTTTTGTATTTTTAGTAGAGATGGGGTCCCGCCATGTTATTCAGGCTAGTCTCAACCTCAGGAGATCTGTTCGTCTTGGTCTCCTAAACTGCTGGGATTACAGGAGTGAGCCACTGTACCTGGCCACTGCCAGGTAATTTTATCTCACACAGGAAGTTATTAAAATCGTAACTGGTCTTTGGAAGAATCTGGACCAGTGCCTAATGCTCAGTAAGTCTTGTTGAGTAAATGGACGTGGGCAAAAGGCAGTATGATGGTAATTTGCTCTTATACCTTGTACTCATTACTGAATTGCAGGCAAATCTCTCTATATCTTGACTCAAACACAAACTTCTTGCTTTGGTTTATAAATGTACATAATCTGGCCCCTATTTGTCCAATTTTCTCATAATATTGTTTTTCTCTCTTTATCCTCCAGGCATATTAGCCAGTATTTCTGTCCCTCAAACACCTCAAGTTTGTTCTTGCCTGAATTGTACTTCCCTCAATATTACACATTTTGGCCACAAGTATTAGTTTAAATATCACTTTGATTGATAACCCAATCTAAAGTAAGCACACATATAGTCAGATTAACTGATTTAAATTTTCTGTTGTTTTTTGTTGTGGATGTTCACTTGCTTTCATGTTTCTCCCTGCTACACACAGACTGTAAGAGAACAGGAACATTGTCTTGTTCACTGCTATATTCCCAGGCCTAAAACAGCCTGTCAAAGAAAAAGCATTCAAAAATCACGTGTTAAAGAATGCATGAACTTGTAGGAGCAATTTTCTTTATGAGTATTTCACATATAAATGCTTCATTAATATTTACCAGGTAATGTACATGTACCAGAGAAGCATCATCTCAGTACTTCTTTACCTGTGTTTTTAATTTTACTGTCCAGTCTGAGGAACAAATACCAAGCATGGTTTCTCTTTCATCACTGGTCTTTTATTAGCAGAAAACCTAACAGGTCAGATTAGATGACCTAAACATATTTACATATACGGCATTTGAGAGGTGGGATTTTGCTACTTACTAGTTAATTGGCTCAATTTCTCTTTTCCATAGAATTAGGGACAATAAGGGCATCTTGAATTGTTGTAAGGAACAAATGGTATGTAAAATGCTTAGCGCAGTACCTGACATATATAGATATATGTATACACACAAATGTATGTGTATATACATGGATTTAGCTTTTCTAAAAAGGCCCATGAACTATATTTTTAATGAAAAACTACACAAGTATATATTAAAAGGGAAGCCTAGTGTTCTATTTACAATTATTGTTTTTTAGCAGCAGGGTCTTGCTATATTACTCCAGCTACACTTCAACTCCTGGACCCAAGCAATTCTCTCATCTCAGTCTCCTGAGTAGCTGGGAATACAAGTACACACCAATGTGCCCAGTTTCTTCTTCTTTTTTCTTTTTTCTGAGAAGGAGTCTCACTCTGTTGCCCAGGCTGGAGTGCGGTGGTGTGATCTTAGCTCACTGCAACCTCTGCCTGCTAAGTTGAAACGATTCTTCTGCCTCAGCCTCCTGAGTAGCTGGGACTACAGGCCTGTGCCACCGTATCCAGCTAATTTTTCTTATTTTTAGTAGAGACAGGGTTTCACTGTGTTAGCAAGGTTGGTCTTGATCCCCTGACCTTGTGATCTGCCTACCTCAGCCTCCCAGTTTCTATTTTTTAAAAGAAATTACATTCATTCTCCACTGTATACACTCTTATCTGTAGCCTGCATGATTCACTTAATTAAAGATTCTGGAAATCACTCTACACAGTATATCAGATCTTTCACTCCTTTACTACTGCTGTACACTCTAGTCAACCAGTCCCCAATAGTTTCTAAACTTTTGCTATTTACTATAAACAAGGATTGCATGCCACAAACATATACATAAGAGTAAAAAGACAGGATATAGATTGAGAAACAAATGTGGCAAGGAAATTATATGTTGAATATTTTATTGGGCTATGCATATTATATGTTATTTTATTCGCCCCCCCTCCCCCCCCAAAAAAACCACTATCAGCAGGAAATATACCCATTTACAGATCAGAAAGACTAAATTAATCTGGCTGAAGTCAGAATGCTGGGTATAATTGGCATTTCATCTAACATTAGGGTCAAGGTCTGTGTTTTTTTTTTTTTTTTTTTTTTTACTTTTTGAGATGGACAGGATGAGAACAAGATTAATTTTAAGCTCACACTCATATTAAAAATATATATGGGTGGGAGATAGTGTTTGTAAAAAATATATGTGAAAAATATTGGATTGATATAAGCAATACTGAAGGGAGTAAAATACTTACTTGGATCATTTAGGTCTGACAAACATGTTTTCCTTTCTTTCAAGTTTGTGATTTTGGGTATTTTTGCCCCAGGTAAAATGACTTTTCCATTAGTCTGTAAATAACTGTGCTTACTATCATCACAATTCACAATAATATCAATTGGAACCTTTTCCACACTGTTGCCATAAAACTTCTTGGTTGTTAATCCTGTGTTTTGTGACTTCTGTCCTCCAGAATTCTGATGAATTGATGTTCTTAATAATGGTCCAGTAGAATCATTCAAAGTAATAGCTTGTCTGCAATTTCTTTGCAAATCCTTAGAAAAAAGAACACCACAACTTTGGCATTTGGTCTGATTTTCTTTTTCTTTTCCACATTTTGGACAACATTCGCAGTTCTCAGAAACTTAAAGTTCCAAAAGAACAAAAGAAATAAAAGATTTTGGCATTTATTACATCATTAAGGAATCCCTTCGAAAGACTCAAAATTAAGTCCCTCTTTCCCCATCATTACCATCATGGCTACCATGAGACCCTAAATAAGTCATGTTAGTTGGGATTTAACATCAGCATGCTGAAAGAAATTTAAGACAATCTAGTCCAGCAGTCAGCTATATATAAAATAATTCTGTCTCCAAGAATCTGAGGATAGATCAAGCTGAGTACTTATTGACTCCATTACTTTAGTGTCTATAATAAAGGTAAAGAGGGCATATCTAAATGAAAAGAACTCCAGGGAAAGGGCTATTTCCTCTTATAAAACTGATACTAAAACAGAAAAAGCACATTCCTACTATTAAAATCCCCAATATTAAAATATGGAAAGAAATATGTTCTAAGCTATTACCATATGCCTTCCATCAGGTAAGAAACATGTATCTTGGAATTCTGTGAGAATGAGGAACATAATGCAGATACACTACACTGAACAAGATAAAATTTTCATGATAAAAACTAGAGATTAGGGCTGGGCTGGCTGCGGCCAGGACGTCAGGATGGCTAAAGGTGACCTCAAGAAACCACAGGGCAAGATGTCTGCTTACGCCTTCTTTGTGCAGACGTGCAGAGAAGAACATAAGAAGAAAAACCCAGAGGTCCCTGTCAATTTTGCAGAATTTTCCAAGAAATGCTCTGAGAGGTTGAAGACAATGTCCAGGAAAGAGAAATCTAAATTTGATGAACTGGCAAAGGTGGATAAAGTGCGCTATGATCAGGAAATGAAGGATTATGGACCAGCTAAGGGAGGCAAGAAGAAGAAGGATACTAATGCCCCCAAAAGGCCACCGTCTGGCTTCTTCCTGTTCTGCTCGGAATTCCGCCCCAAGATCAAATCCACAAACCCTGGCATCTCTATTGGAGACGTGGCAAAAAAGCTGGGTGAGATGTGGAATAACCTAAATGACAGCGAAAAGCAGTCTTACATCACTAAGGCGACAAAGCTGAAGGAGAAGTATGAGAAGGATGTTGCTGACTATAAGAATGAAAGGAAAGTCTGATGGTGCAAAGGGTCCCGCTAAAGTTGCCCAGAAAAAAGGGGAAGAGGAAGATGAAGAAGACGAGGAAGAGGAGGATGAATAAAAAAAACTGTTTATCTGTTAAAAAAAAATAAAATAAAACTAGAGATTAACATTTGATCAACCTAATTCTCCAAAAACTAGAATCTCAATACTGCTCAATTAGTTTTAGTAGAGAATACTGTAGAGTAATACATTGTCATAAAAATTTTATGTTAAGTATAAATTTTTTTGGAAAACAAAAATTGAATAAACCTGGACATGGTGGCTCAGGCCTGTAATCCCAACACTTTGGGAAGCTGTGGAAGCAGGGCTGTTTAAGGCCAAAAGTTCGAGACCAGCCGGGGCAACATAGCGACACTCCATCTCTCCAAACAAAAAAAATTGAAGGAAAAAAAACTGATTAAAATCTCATTTCCTGCTTTGGTCAGTAGAAGTGGAAGACTTTTTACATAATTAAATCAATTCCAAATTACATATCATGTACTGTTTGTAAGACACTACCCATAAATAACCAACTGCACTTAATAAGTCTGTCTTTGAGACGTCATTTGTATTAAATATCCTAAAGATGTTAATCCCACTAAATTCTCTTGTTTTCTTTCTTTCTTTCTTTTTTTTTTTTTTTGGACACAGAGTTTTGCCCTTGTTGCCCAGGCTGGAGTGAAATGGTGCTATCTCGGCTCACAGCAACCTCTGCCTCCAGGGTTCAAGAGATTCTCCCATCTCAGCCTCCCAAGTAGCTGGGACTACAGACACCTGCTACCATGCCTCACTAATTTTTGTATTTTTAGTAGAGATGGGGTTTCACCACATTGGCCAGGCTGGTTTCAAACTCCTGATCTCAGGTGATCCACCCGACTTGGCTTCCCAAAATACTGGGATTACAGGTGTGAGCCACCACACCTAGTCCACAGATCTTTTTTCTTACAAGTGGTAAACAGTGTAGAATTTCATACACTATACATGGAAAGAACAACCAGTAACCTTGTCCAGAAATTAAAGATTACATAGAGGCTGGCTACAATTCTTTATCTCCAGTAAGAAGAAATAAAGAACAACTGGCATAGAAGAACAGTAAAAGAAGGAAGACATTATAGTCATCAAAAAAAAAATTATTGCTATGTTTAATACCTAGGTGATGCAATGATCTGTACAGCAACCACCATGGCACACGTTTACCTATGTAACATACCTGCACATCCTGTACGTGTACCCCTGAACTTAAAAAAATAAAAACTGAAAAAAGAAAGATACAATATCTAGATACAGTATCTTTTGCATGCCCGCTGGGCGAAAGATGTTGCATCTAGGGAGGAGCTTTCCTCCTCCTTTATCTAGGTTAAGCAGTAGGTGATGTCTGTATGGCCTGAGTCAAACTTAGGCTGGCATGCCAGGACATTATCATATAAAAAAAAAACTAAGCTAACAGGTAAAGACACTGGCGGTAATGGGAGTCAAGTTAATCACTTCTGGAGAAGAAAGCTGCAAACATGCAACATAGAAAAAAATTAAACACGGTGGTGTTGGATTAGAATTAGTTATCAATGTGAACTCACGGATCCTAGTATGTATTAAACATTAATACACATATATGTATGTCTTAGCTTTGTCCACTGAGAAGGCCTAGAAACAGTAATATCCAGTATGAATGAATGCAACTAGTGCCCAAATATGTTCCCTCCACTTAAAGGAGAAGATATTTCCTTCTCTTTGTATGCATGGCTCCTTGGAGAGATGCCTGACTCTAGGGCTGAGACAGAAATACAAGATAACGGCCAGGTGCAGTGGCTCACACCTGTAATCCCAGCACTTTGGGGGGCCAAGGTGGGTGGATCACCTGAGGTCAGGAGTTCAAGACCAGCTTGGCCAACATGGTGAAACCGCATCTCTACTAAAAATACAAAAATTAGCCAGGTGTGGTGGCATGCACCTGTAGTCCCAGGTACTCTGGAGGCTAAGACAGAAGAATTGCTTGAACCCAGGAGGCAGAGGTTGCAGTGAGCCAAGATCATGCCCCTGTACTCCAGCCTGAGTGACAGAGCGAGACTCCATCTAAAAAAAAATAAATAAATACAAGATAAGTAAGACCATCTTGTTATACTAAAAAGCAAAGAAGTAAATGTCATGAATGTCATCAAAGAACGATAAAGACATGTCAAAAAAAAACAAAAAACAAAAAACAGAGGCCAGCTTGAAGGGATTCATATGGACCAAATCTGGAACAATTTGAGCACCAAGGTAAGTCATAAAACATCATGAAAGTTCTAGACTATAGCCCAGACTGTAACACTTTTGAGTAAAATAACAATTCATATGTACATGCTGATTAAAATCAATATGTAAATTTGGGATAAGGAATATCTCTATCTCACATTAGACATCTTATTAATAAATTAGTAAAAATACCTATTAACTGATGTTGCAGTGAAGAAATCTAGAATATCTTAACTAAGGTAAAATAACATTAATATAAAAATCAGCATCACGTGTCTCCTGATATAATGCAGTAAGATTATATTATCAATTCTGAGGCATTCTTGAAAACTATATACGTTATTAGGAAACACCAGACAAATCCAATTTGAGGCACAAAGTGTCCTGTACTCCTCAAAAAATACCAAGATTATGAAAAATAAGGGAAGACTATGAAATTATTCCTATTGAAAAATACTAAAGATTCATGGCACATCAATGCAGCACATGACTCTGAACTGAATTCTATACTCATAATGGACATTATTCAGGTGAAATTTGAATGGGATTTGTGGATGAGATGGTAATTTTGGATCAATGTTGAGATTTTGACAGTTGTACTCTGATTATAAAAATCACACACACAAGTATTAAAATTTACGTGTGTGATTTTTATAAATGGGCATCATGCTTGTAACTTCAACTCAAACAGTACAAAAAATACACATATACATGTTTATGGGTAGGTGGGAAGAAGGAAGAAAAAAGGCATAGAGAGAAAAAACAATAAAGCAAATGTGAAAAACCAGGAATCTGGGAGATACACATACAGATCTTCTCTCTTCTATTAAGTGTTCAACTTCTTAAAATTATTTGAAAAAATTTCTGGTAGACAGCAATCATTTGAAGTATGTCGCAGGAAAGCACTGATAAATTATTTACAGAAAAATAAATTTTTATTTTCCACAAGTATACAAATGGTCTATTAAAGGCAGAATAGTTCACCTAAATAACTTTTCAGGTCTCTTCTGGTCCTATGATAAAAAAAATCACCTAGAATTTAATAAGTACTAAAACTAATATTAATAAAAACACAATCTGATTAGCAACAAAGAATAATTTCTCTACTTACCTCTAAATGGGTTAAACATTTTTTTGAAGCAGGAGATAAAGGAGGAGTGGGCTGATAGGTACTACAGTGCCGCTTCTGTTGTACTTTCCTCTTAATTTCAGGCTCCACTTGTGATTCGGACTCTTCTGTTTTCTTCATTATACGTTCTAAAGGAAGGAGAAAAAATAAACTTTAAGTTTTAGTTAAAATAAACTAGTGTTTCAACAAAAAAATAACCAGAACATAAGACTAAACCAATAGTTATATCCTGGCTTACTCTTCTCTTATTTTTCACTCCTCAGCAGGATCTCCCCACTGTGGACCACTTCATCAAGTGTATCAACATTCTCTTCACCTTATTTTGTTCTACTAAGGCAACAGAAGCCCTTCCTGTGCCTAATCTCTCACATACTCACAAATATATATTTTTTTCTTTTCTTTTCTTTTTTTTTGGAGACGACGTCTCATTCTGTCACCCAGGCTGGAATGCAGTGGCATAATCATAGCTCACTCTAATTTCGAACATCTTAGCTCAAGTGATCCTCCCACCTCAGCCTCCAGACTAGCTGTGACTACAGGTGTGTGCCACCACACTCAGCTAATTTTTTTATTATTTGTAGAGACAGGGTCTCCCTATGTTGCCCAGGCTGGTCTCCTTCTTTTTTTCCAAGTCAGTTACTGTAAGAGTAGTAATAAGAAAAATCTGAATTCAAACCGTACAATTATTTGGGTAAAGAAAACTAAACTAAGCCTGCCTCAAGCTAATTTTTTTTTAAACTTCGAAACATACAAGATAATTTTTCTATGTAAATGTAATTTTTTCATTAAAAATATAATTAAAAATTTTAAATGATTTGATGAACTCCAAAACAGGCCAATTTAAAATTTACCACAATCTGACTTTATCAGCAAAGGATTAAATATACAAAAGGCTAAACATATTTCTAAAACGTAAGTGAAGAATCCATAAACCAAAATTAACTAACCTGCACAATCTTAGTTTTGTTAAATACTTCTACTTCTAGTTTCCTATATTTAATATCTTTTACCATTTGGTTTTTAAAAATAAGATTATGGAAGCATAAAAATCAACAGTATCTAACAGTTTAATATACAACACTGTCTTAAGAAACCTATAAAATTATTCTTGCTTAGTGCAATCACAAAAAGTTTCACTAAGTGATTATCACCCTCTCATTGTACCTCTGTTTTCCTAGACACCAAAGCCAGAAATTTAAGTAATTGATAACTACTCGTTGTCCCTCCATCTTCACTTCTAAACAGCTCTTAAATTCACTGTCCTCTCCAGACTCACTGCCACTACATTTCTGATGCTTAACCCTTGCCTAAACCGATCTCCTTATCCTAATTTTGCTCCCTTCAAATCCTTCCCCACTACTGCTAAAGTGATCTAGTTAAAAATTGTGACTCTGTCATTCTAATACTCTAATTAAATTCCATGTTTTGGCAAGCAAAAGTTTCTGTTGATATTTCAATCTTACTTCCCCTCAAACTTTACCTCAAAAGGTTCATTTCTTCATGTGTTCTCTCTTTCACCCTCTCACATATGCTGTTCTTTTCACAAGTGAAGTTCTGCCTATCTATGTGGTGAATTCAAACCCTTCATTGTTAAGAAGCTGCCTCTGCCTCACTCTAGGCACAAGTAAGCAATCCTTGGAGTTGCCATAGCTCTCATTTTATTGTTATTTGTACTTCTGTTCCTTCACTATATTGCCACTCCTGGGAAGGGCAGAAATTATGTTAGTCATGTGTTTTCCCAGCATCTAGAAACTGCACAAGGGCTTTACAAGTTTCCTGGATTAATGAATTAAATGAGAAACATAAAACCATATGACACATTTTTAAAAAGAAGAAATTACAGGGGTTGGAGGAAGAGACATTGTCACTGTGTCAACTCTGAAAATGGCATAACCTTTGCACACAGAGATGATTATTCATGCATGGATCTAGAACCATAATGACTTAGCTTCTGGCCACAGAGTAACTAAAAAGTGCTTTTTTTCTCCCAAGACCTAAAATCTGAGGTTACAGAGCAGCTGCTCCAGTCCAGAGCATCCAGGTGTTAGTTACTATTTTTATGAGGGCTAAGTTACTTTGTTGAAAAGCTATGATGAGGCACTATAAGAAGAAGGCAGACATTTTAGAATTCAGAAAATGAACACAGTTGCCTGGAACACAACCAAATTTTTGAAAAATTTAATTTATACTAAAG